ACTCACAAAGATTGGGATTCGGCAGCTTCGAGCTGGCTGAGACTTTCAATAGCAGATTTAACGGCGGCATTGACGTCCTCTTGAGCATCGACATTGGTACTTTGAGCCATGCGTTGAAGCATTTGAGCAGAAGGATTAGTTCGCATCAGTTGATAAACGGCAGCGACTCTAACTTCGGGAACTTCACCGACGTTTTGGTAAATCCTGTACATTACAGCTTGGGCAGTTGTTGGGTTTGATTCCACAAGCTTGTCTAAGCACAAAATCATGAGCATTCGCTGGTACTGGGAGGCCTGTTTTTGTCCTTCCAAGTAAGGTTCAAAGGCTTCCAGAACTTTTTTGTCGCCAACGCTTCCGAGTGCGCGAATCGCAACGTGGATTTTACGCGAGTCCGCTTGCATAACAGCTTCATCGAGCTGCTGAGACAAATAAGGAATTACTACAGTCTTAACGAAGTCTTTTCCGTCTTTTGTGTAAAAAGATCTGAAGCTGGAAGCCGGGAATTGATTCTGAGATTCGGTTTTCTTGGCGTATACCTTGTTTAACAAACGGGTAAACGATAAGACACTGGTTTCGTTGAGTTGCTCTTGGCTCATCACTTCTGGGTTTTGCGTTAAGGAGAAGAATTTTTGCATGTATTCTTCAGTTGGGACTCGTACTGAGTTTGCCATTGAAGCAACCAGTTCGGCGGCTTCGCCCTTTTCAGCTTTCTTCGTAGAAATCCATTCTTCGATGGCCAAAAATGCAGGCCCAGTTCCAGCTTCGGATACAGCATCACGGAAGGTCATCCATGAGCCTTGTTGTTGTTGTTGTTCTGGCTTGTAGAGTTGCTGTGTAACTGCTCTAATTTCCTTCTGATTCATTAATCGGACCAAAGATACAAGCATGGCGTATTTGCTAAGGGTAGACTGAGTCAGAATTTGGTCGGGTTCTGCCAAATCATCGCTGATTTCTCTTGACATTCGTTGGGCTGTTTCCTTTACATCAAAGTCGCTGTTGGCCTTAATGGATTTTCCATGGTATCCCATATAATATGGCAATAGGGGTGACTCTGGAGATTCCTCCATTTGAGGTCTCATCTGGTACTGTACCTGTTCTTCTGAGTTAGCTTCGGTGTGTTCTCCTAGGATGGACTTCTTTATGGATTGCAATAAAGATCGTTTTCCTCTAGGCGTATGTTCTTCGCTTTCTCCACTGGCCAAGTCTTTGCCCTGTAATTTTCGTTGCACTTTGTTGGAAGAGGCAAAGGGATGTTCATAAGTGTAAACTAGGTTTCCAATATCGATGGGGGAAGACATTTCCTGTGGTTGTTTGGTCTGGCTTTTCACTTCAACCAAAGTCATATTTAAAGAGCTGACGGCAGAGCCACGTTGTTTTCCATTCAAAGTTGGGTTGATGATGATCTTATTTACAGTCTGGGAGCTTTGAATGGTGTACTTTGAAAGTTGGCCGGTCAAGACGACCCGAGAGAGGGCAGATCTGGTTAAGAAATCTCCCATTCGGTTGCCAGTTGGCTTTCCTTCCTGAACTTCTCCAAACCCATACTGATAAGCAGGCATAGCTCTGTTAGTAGTGTAGTTCTTGCTCTTCAGTACTTCATAGATCTTTCCATGTCCCTGCAGCTGCTGCTGGGGAACTAACCATGGTTGGCTATCGACCAAATATTCAGGAAGTTGATGAATGTCGTAATTGGTTTCAGTTTCACCTGTGACGGTGTCTTCCATGGTTTGGAACACTGCTTCCATCTTTTCATCATTTGGCAAGGTAGTGGCGTGCGATTCAACAGCCCTTTTGCCTTGGAGATCAAGTTGGAATTGACTGACGATACTTTTAATCACATTCGCCTCCCAATTGGCGACATCCTTTTCCACCACCAAGCTCTTAATCAAGCCATTTTGACTGATGATTTGGAATGGCTTTTTCGAGAGGCCCAATTGCTTGAAGTTCAGCTGAGATTCTGGAATTTCGGAGTTCCAACCATTCGGCATCTGGCTATGAATCTGAGCGTATTGAGATTCAGAGATCCACGCCTGGAGCTTTCCATCAGAACGTGGGGAGACGTGTAATTTGGCTTTGATAAATATACCGGAATACTGATCGGCGAGCTCATTTAAGCTAGTGAGGGAACGTCCATCGACACGATAAACGTACTCAGTGTGGTCCTTCCATCCTGGTTGGCGAGCTCCAAACACCAAACCAACTAAAATTCAAAATTTTTATCAACAAAATCTTTTTGGATTTTCACCCAAGGAAGGAAGAAATCCATGTTTGATAGATAAAACCATACCAAGGGCTAACGCAAGCACTGGAGACCTCATCTTGCACTGAGATCGGAGCTCACAAGTGTGACCACCTCTCCGAGGTCTTCAATACTTATTTGAAAAATTCTGCTGATTTTGCTATGGTAATTAATGATAGTAGCACATCTATTAATGAATGAATGCAATAATCAAATACAAATAGCAGTTATGCAACGAGTTTGTATTATTCAGTTCAGAGGATTAGATTTATGAGCGTTTGGATATTTGGCAACATCATTATTGTTTCTGAAGGTTCAAGTTTCAAATGAACACAATTTGAAAGCAGTTTTCGAATAGTTTCGATTGGAAAATGATTTTGTCGAGATTTTTTTTGCTAAAATAAAAGTAAATTAAAAGAAGTAAAGCAGGGGTTACAAATTCGGGAAATACTACTTTTTGCACTTTTGTGTGGGTTCGATGATTTTTTTTAAATAAGTATTATTTTCGAATTTTCAAAATAATTAGACATTTATGTAAGGGAGATTTTTTTTGCTGATTTAATTGGATTTATTGATTAGTTTAATTGGAAGGCGCGTTATCGTAGTATAAGAGAGTTAAGGAAAAAAGGATGAAACATAAATAAATAATTCTCAATACGCAAGTTTGCTGGGAAAAGCGAACTCTTTTATAAATACGCGTAAGTTCTTGTCATTTTTTTACAAACTTCTTGTTGGGTATTTCGCCTCAAAAATGTTTGTCTTTAAAAAAGACAGAATTTTCTCACG